ATAACATAATAAAAGAAGCAAATTAAAAGATACAAGCTGAAAAATAACACTCTAAATAGTGTTTTTGATAGAGATTCGAACAAGAATATTTAACATAGAAGATACGTCCGAAGGGGCCGAAGTTATGATCGGCGAAAGGTATGGGCTAGTCTATATTGGGCTATTCCATTTAATATCCGTACCCCCCCCTGTCGAGGATCCCTGGAATTCTTCAGGGGTAAAGAGTTTTGAGCTTGGAATTCTTCAGGGGTAAAGTGTTTTGAGCTTGGAATTCTTCAGGGGTAAAGTGTTTTGAGTTTGGAATTCTTCAGGGGTAAAGGGTTTTGAGCTTGGAATTCCTCAGGGGTAAAGGGTTTTGAGTTTGGAATTCTTCAGGGGTAAAGAGGTTTGACTTTGAAATTTTTCAGAGCTTGGAATTCTTCAGGGGTAAAGGGTTTTGAGTTTGGAATTCTTCAGGGGTAAAGGGTTTTGAGTTTGGAATTCTTCAGGGGTAAAGGGTTTTGAGCTTGGAATTCTTCAGGGGTAAAAGGTTTTGAGCTTGGAATTCTTCAGGGGTAAAGGGTTTTGAGCTTGGAATTTTGGAATTCTTCAGGGGTAAAAGATTTTGAGCTTGGAATTCTTCAGGTGTAAAGGGTTTTGAGCTTGGAATTTTGGAATTCTTCAGGGGTAAAAGGTTTTAAGCTTGGAATTCTTCAGCGGTATAACCATGAAAAACATGTATCCTCGACAGGGGGTGAACGGATATTAAATGGAATAGCCCATTTTCGTTCAGACAATTACATGCGTATTAATTTGATAATATACCATCTCGCTTGACTTTCAAAGGCCATAAATCGCAATAATGTTGACATTTTACTAAAACTATCGATAGAAATTAGGAGATATTTCTTCACTGAATCGAACAGTGGGATTTCCATATAGGCCTATCAGTCATGTTCTGAACCAAAGATACTTGATAGATATTATATACGAACCTCCGAAGTATAAACAAGGGGCCGGTTGATGCAGTAATTATCAAATAACTGTTAAACTCTTATATACCCGTTGAATATGTATAGTTGTAAACAAATAAAAACTATCATTCTATAAGGTTCAATACTTTCAGTTTGGTTGTTGACTGATGATGAATCTATAGTATAGACTTGCATGCTTTGTATTTTGAGCTTATTAAACCACCGTTTTAAGGCAGCTAAACGGGCTTGGTTTATATTAACAGATAAAATAAATTCCTTGATTCTCATCACTAGACACAGTCTACACTTTGAAATGTCGAAGACAGTGGGAGATTTATTTTTTATATTTTATATTTATATAATTTATATATCAATAGTTCGTATCTCCACGAACAATGACAGAATGACTGAGTTTCTTTAAAATGCAATGAAATTTCACTCAAAATTCTGTTTGTTTCAAATTGGAAGTTTAAAATGGCAATAAAAACTCTATATAAAATATGAAAAAATTAACTGTCTCGAATTATTTTGTCTGGCGGTACATTTATATTGTGTAACTAAATATAAAACGTTTTCACGAGGATGTTAAAATTCAGTCGGGCGGTGATGAGAATCAAGGAATTTATTTTATGTTGGGCAGTTGTGACTTGGGAGCAGAGAGCAGCTTGGGAGTGGCTAATTTTGAATATTTACTTAATTAATGCATCTATAAATAGCGTTGATGCTTCAGGGGCGGCAATCTCGTTCCCAGAGTATGCCTGTTCGCGGGTTAGGTTGTGGCATGACTCTGGGGAAATCGAATCTAAATCGTTATTTGATTGGCTGCCGTGATCATCAATGCTGCCGACACAATTAATGCGTGTTTTTTGCGAGAATTACGCGTGGACATACGCGAAGAGAGAATTATCTATGGAATTATCAATATTTATCAGATTGGAATGTGAAATCAAACGATATAAATCGAAGGATATGATATTAATCGTATGAAAAAGTATTGGGACGTTGGGTATATACTTACAAAATGGCATGGTATTTATGAATGACTTTTTATCGATCTACAGTACGAGTATATTCATTATAACCATGAAAGAATTGGGCCCAATTGGCTAAATGAAATCATCGCACACGTTGTCGTTTTGTTATAAAATTGACATATTGTTGCCAGGACTTTGGAGTGTCAGCTTTTGCTTGTGTTAAAAACTTGAAGCTTTAAACAATACAGTACATTATGGTCAATGGTCAACACTCAACATGTTGTAGCCAGTGGTCTTTGTGCTTTTGTAAATGGAGTTATCTATATAAATTTAAGATGCCAGATGTTTTTGTAGCATCTGTATAAATTATAGAGTAATTGATTTAAGAAGTTCCTCAGGTTGTAAAACATTTGGTTATAGGTTTGCTTTGTAAGTGATTGCCACTTGACAGCACATGTGATGGGCTATCCATTTAATAAACGTACACCCCCTGTCGAGGATACATGTTTTTCATGGTTATACCCCTGAAGAATTTCAAACTCAAAACCTTTTACCCCTGAAGAATTCCAAAATTCCAAACTCAAAACCCTTTACCCCTGAAGAATTCCAAGCTCAAAACCTTTTACCCCGGCCTGTTCAAAGAATTCCAAAATTCCAAGCTCAAAACCCTTTATCCCTGAAGAATTCCAAGCTCAAAACCCTTTACCTCTCAAGAATTCCAAGCTCAAAACCCTTTTCCAGAATTCCAGGGATCCTCGACAGGGGGGGGGAGGTATGGATATTAAATGGGATAGCCCGATGTAAGGCTAGAACTAAACTAAACCTGAAACAATTTTTACATCAATTTGTGTTTGGATAAAAAATAAGTAGTGAATTTAAATACAGATGTTTCCTTGTCTGTTGCTATGTGAAACAATGTTGTTTATAGCAATAAAAGTCATTGTTGATCAATAACAATGCTCATTTGCTAAAAATATACAAGTATTGATTCCATTTCCAAACTATTATACTATGTGAATATATTGGCAATTAATCCAATTATATATAAAAGGAGATACTGACAGTAGAATTGAAATAGCTACCAGTTTCAATCAAATAACTACTTTAATTTCTGTATCAACTATCAAGCCTCCTGTGTATTATTGTTTCCTAAGCATCAATGAGGGGGCACTTGTTCTAAATATATGCAATAAGTCTGGTTACCATTAAAAAATGTCCATATTCAGAGTTACCGTTGTACTATATTTTAATAAAATACTGCAGAAATGCAATATATTTCATGATTTTAAGAAATTGAATGAGGGCTGCATGGTTAAAAGAGGAGGGGGGCTTATTTATTTTTGATTTTTGTATCCAAATGAGGGGGAGGGAGGTTATTGGAGAGGGACTTGAAGAGAAGGGGGCTAAATATAGAAATTACAGTACTTCCATTCCTTCCTCTCCCCTCCCAAACATGCTGCAGGAGAGTGGCAACTGGGGTTAAAGCCTGGATTGCAAGGTTGATGTATAATTTGCATGTTATGTACCTGGTAATATGGAGTAATGAGCTAGTAAATACACCCTTGCCTATAATTAGTTGCTGATTAACAAAGATACAGAATGTGAAGCATGAAAAACAAATGGAAGATACCCACTGCAAGAAATTTTCAACAAATATATATGGATTTGTTCACTTCATTTCTTACTTTCGACACAAGTAATTATGGTAATTATAATTACAAACACAATGTACTGTCATTTAAAGACTTTATATGTGATCCATGTATATATGTTAATGTAATATAATATAAAAAATAATGTGTTTATTGTTAAAATATGGGATATATAATACCGTAAACCTCTGACTATAAGCCCTGGGCTTATATTCTTTTGTAAGTGATTTTTGATGGGCTTAGGGGGGGGGGGCTTATATGCACGGGGGCCTTATACATGGACGATCAATTGTGTTAGTAATAAACAAGTCAGTCATAAACAGGAAAATAAACATGTATTAATAACACACTTCATTAACATAGTAAGCTATAAAGACAATGACAGTGTTTCAAATATCGTTCTCTGCTATATTAAAAGACAATGTCAATGTTAAATAACATAGTGGGATACTGGGCTTATATTCAGGGGGCTTATATTCAGGGGACTTATATTCAGGGGGGCTTATATTTGGGGGGGGGGCTTATATTTGGAATGAGGTGAGCATTATATTCAGAGGTTTACAGTATACAGTTCAAAAAAGCTTGTATTTTCTTGTCAATTGTCATAGACACACATTTATGGGTGCATATAGAACAGCTTATACGTCAGGTTCTCATGTCAATCCAATGGTAATTTGATATCGCTGCCATCACCATAATATAGTGTAGCACAGAAGTATCATACTTTGACATCATGCATGCAGAAATGCCTTGGTCATTCATGTGGAGATATTTAATACTATTACGATAGAATTAGTTACACCAAGTAACACGTCGTACACGTCAGGTAGCAGCTGAAATATTTTAATATTTGCCATAATAAGCCCATAACCTGTTGGCAAAACAACCAAAACATCTTCACCATTTTACATTTTAATATGGCCGAGATACATTTGAATGTCTCGTCTTTTAACGAATATTCAAGCCCTCTTTTCGCTAGAACAACTTTCATAGCTCTTTCAGTATTTGCCATTGAATATAATTTAATAGTAGTACGATTTAAAGCACCTTTAAACGTATAAAAACCCATTTTGTATACTATAAATTCTGATATCTTTGTTTAAAACAATATCGATTGTGAGCGTGTGCCCGCGCGAATTTAGTAAGCGGAATAAACAAAAGCAATAAAAGCGCATGCGCCATTTATCTCATTTTGGATAAAAAAATTCGATTTCCCCAGAGTCGTGCCACAACCTAACCCGCGAACAGGCATACTCTGGGAACGAGATTGTCCTGAACTGAATTATGAATGAGTTTTCGAAATATATATATATATATATATATATATATATATATATATATATATATATATATATATATATATATATATATATATATATATATATATATATAATATATATAAATGCCAATATATATAATATTATATGGCAATATATAGTATTATACTGTATGTAATTTAATTTAAAATGAACATGCGTCCACATGCCTGCAGGCACAGATTTTCTGGGGGGGGGAGAGATGCACACCCCCCAGAAATTATTTGCACCCCCAGAAATTATTTGCACCCCCCAGAAGCATTTGGCACTGCCTCCAAAAGTTTTTGCACCCCCGCAAATTCTATATATTTTGATTTGATAGTTTCATATTTGATTATTCTTACTACTAAATTTGTAAAATTACCAATATTATGGTCTCATATCTTGCCATGCAGGCCTAGGAAACAAATTTTGTTAAACTTTTTCCTTGGCCTTTCCGGGTGTTGCCACCAGGCCCTGGCCAAAGCAAGCAGCAGCACCCCCCC